AACTTGTGCAGCCACTGTGGAAATCAGTGTGGCGGTTTCTCAGGAAACTGGGAGTCAACCTACCTCAGGACCCAGCAATTCCAATCTTGAGAATATACCCAAGAGATACCCTATCATACTACAAAAGTATTTGTTCAACTATGTTCATAGCTGCACTATTTGTAATAGCCAGAACATGGAAACAGCCTAGGTGCCCCTCAATAGAAGAATGGCTAAAAAAGGTGTGGAACATATACACATTTGAGTTTTACTCAGCAGTAAAAAACAATGACATCTTGACTTTTGCATGCAAATGGATGGAAATAGAAAACGCTTTACTGAGTGAGGTAACCCAGACCCAAAACGAGGAATATGGTATGTACTCACTCATAAGTGGATTCTAGCCATAGTTAAAGGTCTTTGAGCCTATAATTCGTGATCCTAGAGAAGCTAAATAAGAAGGTGAACCTGAAGAAAATCATATAGTTATCTTCCTGGATATTAGAAGTAGACAAGATTGCCAGGCAAACTTGGGTGCACAGGGGGTGGGGGGTGGAAGTAAGGGGAGATGGTTAGGGAGAGGGGAGAGAGGGAAGATTGGGGATGGCTTGGGGGAATGGGAGGGGGGAGGGAGGAATGATGGTTATGGGAGCAGGGAAGTATATATCTCAACTAAGGGAGCCATTTTAGGGTTTGCAAGAGACTTGATTCTGGAGGAGTTCCCAGGCCCAAGGAGAGGTCCCCAGATTGTTCCCTGGGCAGCAGAGGAGAGGGTGCCTGAACTGGCCTTGGCCCATAACCATACTGATGAATATTTTGCATGTTACCATAGAACCTTCATCTGGCGATGGATAGAGATAGAGACAGAGACACATATTGGAACACTGGACTTAACTCCCTAGGTCCAAATGAGAAGCAGAAGAAGGGAGAACGTGATCAAGGAAAGCAGAACCAGAGGGAACCTTCATCCGACGATGGATGGAGATAGAGACGGAGACCCACACTGGAGCACTGGACTGAGCCCCCAAGGTCCAAATGAAGAGCAGTAGGAGGGAGAACATGAGAAAGGAAGTCAGGACCGCGAAGGGTGCGTTCACCCACTGATACAAGGGGACTGATCGAATGAGAGCTCACCAAGGCCTGCTGGACTGGGACTGAACGAGCATGTGATCAAACCGGATTCTCTGAATGTGGCTGACATGAGGGCTGACTGAGAAGCCATTGACAATGGCACTGGGTCTTGTTTCATCTGCATGTACTGGCTTTTTGGGATCCTGGTCTGTTTGGATGCTCACCTTCCTGGACCTGGAGGGAGGGGGGAGGAACTTGGACTTCCCACAGGGCAGGAAACCCTGACTGCTCTTGGGACTGGAGAGGGAGGAGGAGAGGGAGTGAGGGGAGCGGGAGAGTATTGGGAGGAGGGGAGGAAGTGGAAATTCTTATAAATAAATAAATAAGTAAATTTAAAAAAGAAAGAAAGAAAGAAAGAAAGAAAGAAAGAAAGAAAGAAAGAAAGAAGGCTGAGCAAAACATGAGGACCAAATCACCTAGAATAAACTCCAGTGTGAGTTCCTACCTTGGCTTCCCTCAGTGATTCAGGATATGTAAGCCAAACAAACCCTTTCCTCCCCAAGTTGGTCACGGTATTTCATCACAGCAATAATAACTTTAAGGCAGATCCAAACAAACCAAAAGAACAGTGCTGAGTGACTCCATCTAAATGAGACTCTAGAAAATGCAAAGGCAGACCAGTGGTGGATCTGAAGAAATCCAACTTATCAAAATTTTTCTTTTATGGGTTTTACTTTTGGTGTCATACCTTGGGAATCTTGTGAAACTGTATTAGTGGTTGAGGCTGAGGTAGGTAAGAGGGGAACAGAGGAGCTACTAAGGAGGTTGAGGAAATTTGGGGTGATGCTACAATCATGATAATTTTTATATATTCTTTTTATTCTACTCCCAATAAAACTGCTTTATAAAAAAAATAATAAAAATCAGAACAGGTGGCCTAGAAGTGAGTAGGTAAGAAGAGACTAGCAGGATGGAAGCTTGTGATCAGACAGCTGTCTGTCTATCGGATAACAAAGGGCAGGATGCCGCTTGAGGATGGAGGAGAGGGGCAATGAGCTTATGGGCAACAAGGAGAAGGACTGGGAAAGAACAAGACCATGAAAAAAAGAGAGATGAGACAACATTGTACTGAGATGGCACAGTCCAAGGAGAGGGGTGCTGAACCATTTCTGGAATTAGCATTACATAAAAAAAGGCCATGACCTCATCTCCATGATCCTGAGACAGAAGTGTCTCCAAGAAAAGTAAGGGTTCAGATGACCAAGGAGGTGAAAGAAAGGCCAAGCTGTGGGGCTGTTGTTTAACCAAGAGAACTGGTTCCATGCTCACAGGAGCATGTCTTACAGCCATTCCCTCATGAACTTAGGTAAGTAGGGTCCCCTGATTAGCTCATCCTGGTGATGACAATGCTATGTGAACAGCCAAGAATGCTGCACACAGTTACTTCTCAATCTCACAAGTCCTCAGGGTACCTCTTTAGGTGATATTTTGAATTTTTAAATTTTTATCCTATTTTAAATATGTAATTGCAAAGCTTCAAGAACTGCTAGGGCAAACCCTCTCAGATATAAGGGATTTTTTTTTTGCTTATTTGAAAGATTTAAAGATTAAGAAGCTCTCTCAGAATAAAGATTCAGTCACTAAGTTCCATGGTTGTATTTAGTATACATGCTTTACATTCTTTAAATTTAAATTTGTAATACAAAATTCAAATTCAATTTCTGTAAGAGCTTATTACCTATTTTCATAGAAATAATCTTAAATTAAAATCAGAACTCTGGATTTTGAACTATCTACTGATGATGCTACCTCTTTTCAGGCCAGGAAGCCCTGCTCACCCTTCAAGGCTCAGGTGGAAGTGACTTCTCTTGAAGGGTCCCCTCAACTTCTCCTGGGTAGACACGTCTACCTTTTTTCTCCCTTGCACTATATTCCCCGCACAGCCACAATTACACTGTAATTACTTTTCTCATCTATCTATCCACAGGGCAAGAGGCCCATCCAAAGCAGGAATGGTGACATGTTCTTTGCTTCTGCCCCCAAAAGTATGTCTCTCCCTCAAGAAATAGTGAAAGAAATTATCAAATAAAGAAGATTCCATTCCAAGGGTCATGGTTTCCTCCAGTGTAGCCAATGGGTAAAGAAGAAAAAAAATGTATCAAGTGACAGAGGCTTTAGGTAGGATCAAAGCAGGAATTCTTTAAAAAGCACATGCAGAATTCACAGTGGATTCCCTGGAATGCTGCAGTTTGGCTGGGCATTTTAAATTGCAACTGTGCTGTCAGATGTAAAGAGCTGGGCAGAAAGGACGGCAATGTTACTTACTTTATTTCAAGTTCCCTCTGTGTAGTGAGGAGTTGCGGGCAGGCCTGCTTTTTATCCTGCCCGGCTCCCGCATAGCTAGCTTAGCCCCAGAAATAATAACATACAAATTGTATTTATTTAAGCATTGTCTGGCCCATTATCTCTAGAGAGTTAGTTACTGACTAACTCTCATATCTTGATATTAACCCATTTTTATTAATCTGTATCACATCACGAGGTGTGGCTTACCGAGAAAGATTTAGCATGTTTGACCTGGTGGCTGGCTCCATGGCATCTGTCTCATTGTCCTCTTTTTAGCATTTTGTTTTGTTTATTTTGCCTACCTAATTTTCTGTCCTATCAGAGGGCCAAGGCAGTCTCTTTATTGACCAATGAAAATAACACAATAGACAGATAGTTGGGCGCCAAATGTAACATGACGGGGCCGGCTTGTTGGGGTATCCTTCCCGCCCAGTACCCCATGCCGGCATGCCCCAAAGAGAAAATCATGCACAAGACTCCATAAGATTATAAGCTGATTGGCCCATTAGGTCAGGCTTTTTGTTAACTCTTATAACTTATATTAACCCATTATTCTTATCTATGTTAGCCATAATGGCTCCATACCTTTCTCAGCTGGGCACGTTACATGCTGCCTCTTTGGTGGTCTGCACAGGAGTGGCAGAGGAACCTCTCTGTTTCCCAGAATTTTGTTCTCATTGCATCACCTCTACTTCCTGTCTGGTTTTCCCGCCTATACTGCCTGCCTGGCCAATCAGCGTTTTATTAAAATATGATTTACAGAATACAGACAATTCTCCCGCATCACCTCTGGCTGCCACATCTTAAAGTATTCAAACACAGAAATATTGTATCAATAATGCAGGCTTAAAGAATAATTTTTTGGTAAGGAATAATGGACAATTATTTAAGAAAAATACTCTAGATCAGTGCTTCTCAACTTGATGTGCACAGGAACCCTTTTGTGTCTCTTGTTAGCAGACCACCATGCTCCACAGTGGGTCAGACTGAGGCCTGAAATTGTGCATCTTTAGCATGTTCCTGGGGAGCCCGTGGACTACGCCTCAAAGGGCACATTTAAAATAACATTTAGTTTTTTTAATTAATTAATTGAAATTTTAATAAACATATACAATCTCTTTGATCATCTCCATTTCCCACTACCTGCTGGACCCCTCCCACTATAGCACCTCCCAAGTTCATAGCCTCTGCTTTCTTTTAAACCCCTGCTTCATCCACTCTACAGTGTTAACAGGCTTGATCTTGTGCAGGTCTTGTGCAGGCAGCTGCAGTCACTGTGAGTTCATGACTACAACAGCCCTCCTCCACCTCTGACTCTTCCTTCCACCCCCCCCCCACAAGCTATTTCCTGGGCCTTTCGTGGGAGAGCTATGGTATAAATGATGCATTTAGGGCTGAGCACTCCAACCACTTATTCTCTGTACTCGATCAGTGGTGGTGGTGAGAGAGATTTTCCTACAAGGTCCAAGTTGGACTTGATTTAAATTATCATACCTTTAATTCTTCCTATATGCTACTTTGATAGCATTAGTTATATGAAGCATTGTTGGGACCTCAACTGGTAGAAATTCGTATCACTAATACATTGTTGGCTTTCATCTTACCTATACTCTGGTAATGCCATCGAAAGAAAATTCGTTCAGGTAGAAACTGCAGTATTTTCTACAAAATAAAAAGTTTTTAAAAATGAAATAAATTTTGTGATAGACCCATATTACTCACCTCCCCCTTAACACACAAATAAATATAATACAAATATAAATGTAATATGTATGTATGAATCTCATAAAGTTAATGCCTACAAGTAGGTCTTTTTTTTTTTTTTTTTTTTTTGGTTTTTTGAGACAGTTTCTCTAAAGATTTGGAGCCTGTCCTGGAACTAGCTCTTGTAGAACAGGCTGGCCTCGAATTCACAGAGATTCTCTTGTCTCTGCCTCCTGAGTTCTGGGATTAGAGACATGTGCCACCACTGCCTGGCCAGTTTTAGGATTGTACTTATGAAAGCATCCATCAGTAGACAACAAGTAAATTTCAGAAGAACAAGAGGACTGGGCTAATAAAATAGTCCTCATTACCAAAAACTGGCTGTTGAGCGAGGGAGAGTCAGCTCTTCAAGGACATGGTTCATGGAGACTACTTATACTCCAACGAGTGGTCCTATGTCCATGCTCATACAAGAAACACTAAGTGATTCCATGGGTTTAAAAACTGAGCACGCAAAGTTGAGAGGTGAAAGGGAGGAGTTGGAGGGGAATTTGAAAAGGGAATGGATTTAATCAAAATATATTATGTTCATTTATGAAATTCCCAAACAACTTTAAAGATTTTATTATTCTTGAAAAAAAAAGTCCAAATCAATGAGAATGACCTTCCTTAAACCCCCACTCTAGAATACATTGTGGTAAACTATACTTAAATTATAAGATTCTTTTTATTTTTAATATAACTACTTAAACTATTTGGAGAACAACCATGGGGATTACACAGTGGGAAACAGAGACTGAAGTGAGTTGTCAGGCTGGCAGCAACCTTTGCCCACTAAGCCAATTCACTGTCCCAGCAACTACTTTTCTTTTAATATAGAAAACTGCAAATAGCCAAAATATATCTATTGGCATTGGTAATACATTATTATTGTGGGTTGAAATTCCTATTCTTGCACCCCACAGATGCATGAGTCTATAATCCCAGCATTCTTACAAGGATATGGGAGGCAAGCAGAATCTCCAGAAGTTAGCTTGCTGTAAGCAGTTGTGAACAACAGGAGAGCCTGGCTCAAACTAGGCAGAAAGCAAGAACCAAGAACTTTCCTTTGACCTCCAGGTGCACACTGTGGCATGTGCATACCTGTAGTCACACATATAAGCATGCAAAAATGAACACTTAAACACACACATAAACATCATACACAGACACTACAATGCTTTTAATGTAACTGGCCCCCATAAACTCAAAGAGAGTGGTACTATTAGGAGGTATAGCTTTGTTGGAGTAAGTATGGCCTTGTTGGAGGAAGTGTGAGACTGTGGGGGTGGGCTTTGTGGTCTCATATATGCTCAAGCCATGCCCAGTGTCGCAGACCACATCTTGTTGCCTGTGAGTCAAGATGTAAGAACTCTCAGCTCTTTCTCTAGCACTTTATCTGACTGTATGCTGCCTTGTTTTCCGAAATGACGATAACAGACTAAACCTCTGAACTAGTGAGTGATTCCATTTAAAGGTTTTCCTTTATAAGAGTTGCTGTGGTAATGGTGTCTCTTCACAGTAATAGAAACCCTAACTAATACAGACATATACATATACATAGATAATATTTTTTTAGACAGTATCTCTATGTAGCCCTGGCTGTCCCAGAGCTCACTACATATATCAGGCTGACCTGGAACTCACAGCGATCTACCTGCCTCTGCCTCCTGAGTGCTAGGATTGAAGGTGTAGGTCACCATGCACAGCTTTAAAAATAAAATACATTTAAAAGGGGAATCAGAAGATGTGGAAGTCAGTTATTACCACTGACAGTCTCACAGTTGCTATGCAAGTTATCTCCCACTGAGCCACATCTCATCCCTAAAAAGTCAGTTCTCTATAAGCCAGTTTCTTAAACTATGAGGTGCAATTCCAAATAGCATCACCTAACAGTATAGGAGTTATAAAATGTTGGCAAAAGTACAGGCTTCTGAACAACCAAAAACCAAAAATTAATCCAAAATCAAACATGTAGTGAATCTAAGGTATTGTTAGCAGGGCTTGACCATGATGCACTGCACAACTTTACTGCAGACTTGGTTCAAAACACACAACACACACACTCTGTACTTTGTATGCAATGTTAGCAAATGCTACCTGAAAAAACCACAGCTCAGATCTGAGACTAATGTATGTTTATGAATTGTGGTGTTTTTACAAAGTACACAAAGTTTTTTGCTCATATGGAAACATAATGGTTTAATTATGGGCAACAAAGATTTTCACTATTTTCTTACAAACATTCCTCAGAACATAAGAATTAAATTTGTGTATCTTTGGTTTGTATTGCAATGCTGAGGTTGATTCTTTAAACTATTGGTTAAGATCAAAATCATTATATGAATTTTGGTGCAAGACTGGAACAGAATTCCTAGCAATTTCTGAAATGGTCTTACTGTATTTCTGCTACTTTACAGTATGCACTTATGCACTTATTGACAGTCATAAAATAAAAACAGTGATCAACTGTGAAAAACTGAAGACTCTATATCTTACTTCAAATATTTTGCTAAAATCTAATTCTTAAGGTAAAAATAAGCATATCTGTCTTATTATTATACAAACATGATTCCATCTCTAATAAATGGTAAAACTACATGTATATCAAATGATTATTTTAAAATAAGTTTCTTTGTGATCTATTATCACAAAACGTTTCATTGGGATACCCATTTTATACCTATATACCCAAGGTAGAGTACAAATTTCTCTGACAAAAGGGGATCATGAGTAGAAAAAGTTTAGGAAGTCCTGCTTTATAGGAGGACAACAAAAAAACTCACATGAACCTTGTCCTACCAAAAGGACATAATCGTTAATGCCCCTGTACCCACACATCCCCATGCCTGCCACACCCTGGAATACAATACATGGGAGCCTACAGAGAGAAATAACCACAGCCAGCTGGAAAGCATCATCTGCACCAGCAACTCTGGAACGGGACTAAAATGAAGGATGCCATGTCTAGGCTGCTGCCACACCAACAACTCAAGAGCCACCTACACCCACAGGAGGGTCAAAGTCAGTCAGTGTCTTTGATAATAAATTAACAGTAGTCTTTGCAAGATAAGGTCTTTGGAAAATATGTTACAATGTGGTTATTAGAAACAATTGGCAGAAGAGGGGCACCAGGGAAGGAATGGGAAGGAAACAGGATGAGCAGGGGAGCCACTGCCAGCTGAGAGGGAGCTCTAAAGCCAAGTCCCAAACAAATAGAAGTGAGACTCTATGTTCCAGGCTCATGGAGAGAAAAGTATGACCAGGGTTGGAAAGCTGAAGGCACTAACAACCGAGGCTAACAGTTGATGCCACTCTTGTAGTAGGTGACAAATTCTTGAAGAAGAATCTGAGCAATACATCTTTTTTATGCGCATAGTAATATTTAAATTCTTAACTAGTTGTTCTCATCAGATGAAAAGGCTGGAACACTGAAGAAGTGTATCCCACTTCAGGAGCCCAGATGTCCCCCAAGCTTTGTTTCCATCTTCAGCTGGAAGTGGCTTCATATGAAGTCTGTCGCTCTGAGGTCTTCCTGTGCTTTGCTGCCTGCTTCCTGACAGTTCATTTTGCCTGAGCAGATGGCACACCTTCTTCTGCATTAACCTTTAAAGGAAGCTCCCAGCTACATAGCAGGATCACCTTTGGATACCGTTATTCAAGAAGATGCTAAGTGAATTGAAGATTCAGGGTGGATCTTGTCTTGATCTAGATTAATGTCTGATATTCCCTTTGCTCTCCAGACTTTTAACTTTTGACAGAAACCAAACTGGCGCTGAGTCACATCTTTCAGTTTTCAAAACACAGATTTATATTTCTCACTCAGTTTTCTTTTATTAACATATAACAAAGAAAAGCACCTTCTAATATAAGAAAACAGGCTGGGCGGTAGTGGCACACGCCTTTAATCTAAGCACTTAGGAGGCAGAAGCAAGCAGATCTCTAAGTAGGAGGCTAGCCTGATCTAATGCACAAGTTCCAGAATGGCCAGGGCTACACAAAGACATCCTGTCTTGAAGATATTTATGTATGTGTGCGTGTATTTATGTATGCATGTATATGAATGTGTATACATATATGTATATATTATGAGAAAACAGAAAATATATAAATATATCAAGTAGATGGGCATAAAGATGTCTGCATACTGTCCAAGACTGCCACAAAAAAATCATCTCCAATACACTTAAGGTCAAGACAATCACTGTTATTTCTCAAAATTATTCAGATTTATAAAATCAGTCAACTTTAAAGATATTAAGAAATAAACTCTAAGGTTTAGATATGACACATAATGTCTAAAGCCTGAGGTAATAATGTTCCTAAAAGCACCTGTGAGATGCATTAATGGACACATGCAATTCCAACCAAGCCCTACAGTCTGAGTTCAATTCCAGGACTTACGTGATGAAAGAAGAGTATTGAGTTCCACAAGTTGTCCTCTGTCCATGGTACATGTACTCACACAAACACTTGCACACACACACATAAACAACATAATTTTTTAAAAACAATATAGTCCCAAATGACAGAACTTAATACAATTCAGAGACTGAAACAATCCCTTACTGTCACTTCTTTCTGTAATAATATTGTGATGGCTGGTTTTTATGGATTAAATCCTATGTGGGTCAATAAATAGAAAGCAAAACACCACTACCTAGTCTAAATGCTAAGCCTGTGCCTCAGATGCCCCAGATGAAGCCTACTTTTGGTGAGGCAAATGCAATCTGGCATTTCTTGTACTGCAGCTGATACTCTAAGCTACACTGCTGTGAATGCCACATAAGCTATTGACATCTTGTTTGTAGTTTCACTGGAGAATAAAATAAAAAAATATTTCAAAAAAGCCACACAGTGTGAATAAATATTACTTTTTCTGGAAAACACATAACTCTGTTTAATGCTCAGTGCTCAGC